CAGAGGTTGGGCAGCACCTTGCACTCATCGATGTCTGCAGGAGGGAGGGAAGGACCTCTTAGTGGCAGTGCTGCTGCTGCCCCCATGCTCCTGTGCCGGGGCAGATCAGACTCTCCCAGGGAGCCAGAGAATATGGTCAGGGAGATGAAGCGCCTGGAGCACAAGTCTGGTGAGGAAGGGCTGAGGGAACTGAGGGGGTTTAATCTGGATGATGAAGAGAAGGCTCAGGAGGGACCTTATCGCTCTCTCCAACTACCTGACAGGAGGTTGTACTGAGGGGGAGTTGGTCTCTGCTCCCAAGGAACAAGGGATGGGACAAGACAAAACGGCCTCAAGTTGCTCCAGGGGAGGTTTAGCTGGAGCTGAGGAACAATTCCTTCCCTAGAGGGTGCTCAGGCATTGGAACAGGCTGCCCAGGGCAGTGCTGCCGTCACCGTCCCTGCAAGTGTTCACAGCCCGTGTAGACGAGGCCCTCAGTGCTGGGCAACGGTTGGACTTGGTGATCTTAAAGGTCTTTTCTAACCTGGCTGATTCTATGATTCTATGTAAGATAATGTCATAGAGGCTTCTTTTCTGCTCCAGGCACTGTGTAGGTCTGTCCCAGGGGAAGTCTGCCTGTACCCACATCTTTGCTTTTGCCTCAGCTCACCTCTGCCATCAGTGGAGTACCCTGGCCCATGAGGACACATCTTCTTGTACTGGGCAGTTCCAGGAAGGGGGCAGAGCTCACACTGGGGGCCCCAGCTGCGCCCACTGTTGCAGCAGCACTCAGATTTGGTGACCAGGTTGCGGTTGGTGGAGGACATCTGGCACATGGTTTGCAGTACTTCAGTGAAGCAGAATCCTTGGCGGGTGTCTGGGCAGAGAGAGTGAGGACACAAGGTCAGGATTCAAGCCAGGATCAACACCAAAGATAACCGAGCAGCTGGTCCATCCTATGCCAGTCCCAGCAGAGAGCGTAGTGTGGTTTGGGTAACGCTAAAGGCAAAGCCCAACAACTTTCTGCTCAGAAATCTTGAAACACCTGAAAAGCATCATCTGCTACTACAGAGAGGCTGCTCAAGCCCCACCAGGACTTGGTAATTACCAATACACTCTGTGCCAGAGGGGCTGACTTCAAAACCTTCATTGCAGTCACAGCGGTAACTTCCCACCGTGTTGATGCAGCGGCCATTGGGGCAGATCCCAGGCTTGGTGCGACACTCATTCTCATCTGGGAAGGAAGGAACCACAAAGAGGTGAGGCACAGGACAAATTCCAGCTTTCCATGAGTCCCCGTGTTTGAAACATCCTCACATAGACCTTGAGGACAATTTCTACACCCTTAGGCAGCTGAGAAACATATCCACCTGCTCTGGACCTCTCCCAAAGCAGTGTGGCTTTGGGTGAGTATCCAGCTTCCCTGCTTTGCACATTCTCCACCTGCAAGTGGCCAAGCTGCTGGGCTCGGAGTGGAGCTGGGCTCATTTTGCATTTCTGCTGTGCCTAGCACTATGCAGGTCTGGGCTTTCCAGTGCTGGCCCCTCCAAAAGCTGCTCAGTGCAAAGAAGCTTGGCACAAACCTGGAAAGACTCAACAGAAAGGACATATGGCATAATGTTGTGCTGGAAGCGTATAGACCCATAGGTCCAGAGATGGAAAGAGGTTTTGGTGTGTAGGCATCTAGTAGGACATACAGGAAGTTCTGACACGTGGGCAGCTGTTTGACAGAAGGACCTAAAATAAAGCTACATGGACAGTGTCTAGAAGAGGATGGTCTCCAGCCCCACTGGAGACTGGGAATCCCTCCCAGCCTGGTCCTTGGTACCTGTGCAGCCCTCTCCATCTGGCCTGCGCTGCATTCCTGGTGGGCAGATGCACATGAAGGTGCCGATGAGGTTCTTGCACAGCATCCCTCTGGACTCGCAGTCGTGCAGTCCCTCTGCACACTCATCCAGATCTGCAACAGAGAACCTGGTGAGCTCCTGTTCAACCTGCCAGCACTGCTGAGTCAACTAGGAACTGAGTCCTTGCATCTGCACTGCTCTGTTAACCCCTTCTGCCTTGGTCCAGGCTGGCTGGCACACAGCATAGACACCAAGGTAGGTGAGAGCAAGCACAAGCCCAGAGATGCCAGCTCAGGAGCCCTCTCCATAGCACCAGAGACCAGCTAAGTGCAGGGGGCTGGGGAGGGTGTGAGAGCTCCCCTGATGGGTGCAGAAGGGGATTTTACCTCTGCACATTCTTCTGTCTTCTCGCAGGGCGTATCCAGATGGGCACGTGCACTCATAGGAGCCAAACGTGTTGATGCAGCGGAAGGCACAAAGCAGGGGGTTCAGTGAGCACTCATTGATATCTGGGAGGCAGGAGAGAGGAGGGGGCTCCACTCTGTGCTCTCAGCAATCAGCTGAGCAGTAACAGTGGTGGGGGTCCCCCTTCCCTGTGCATTCATCTCATGAGAACTTTGTTCCACCAAGGCTTCCTGCCATGGTCTTCAGCACTGACAGACACCTGGTGTCTCAGCAACTTTGATAGCGTCCTGGCTCCTTGGTGAGGCAGCTCCTGCTTTTAGGCAGGTCCCCAGACCTCCTCTTGGGCTCCAGCCTCAAAGGAAGTTGAAGAGGACCAGTGCTGATGTGCACACTCATATGAAGATGAGCCCCAGACAGCTTCTCTGCACATTGGAGGCTGACCTGCTCACCCAGACAGTGACCCAGTGTGCAATGGGGGTGAAGGGATTGCCCCACAGAAGCATTACCTTCACATGTCATCATGGGACCTGGCTCAAAGCCCTCGTCACAGGCACACTCGAAGCCTCCCACCACGTTGGTGCAGGTGCCATTCCCGCAGGGATTGCCAATGGAGCACTCATCGGTATCTGGAGGAAGCCAGGACCATGTTAGGTAGATGAGTTAGGAAAGGTGCAGGCTGGTCTCTTCTTGTAACCAGAGCACTCAAACAAGCCCACCAAGCCAGAAGACAGGGGTAATACACAAAGAGGCAGGGGAGAAGCAAGTTCCTTCTCTCCACACAGACTCTTAGAGCCTCTGACCTAAGGAGGAGTCCCTGGCCATGGCAGGAGGGTTGGAACTAGATGATCTTAAGGTGCTTTCCAGCCCAAACCATTCTATGATTCTGTGATAGAAACAAGCAGAAGTAGGTGCTCCCTATGCACTTACCCACACAGTTGACTCCTGTGTAGTCCAGGTTGTACCCAAAGGGGCACTCACAGCGGAAGGACCCATCGGTGTTAATGCAGGCCCCATTTATGCAGACACCCAGGTTCTCTGAGCACTCATTAACATCTAGAAGGAAAACCAAGACAATGAAACCTCATGTGAGCATGTAGCCAGAAACATCCCTGTCCTCTTAGCACTGACCCTGCAATCTCAGATATTCCCTCTCAAGAGTTGGGGGCTGAACCTTCAGAGCACCCAGTCCTATGTCCCTCCAACCACTGAGATTCAACCTTACTCTCCAGACAGCCTCAGTTTGGTTGCTTCTAGGCAACTTCCCCATCCCTAGATCAGACCTTACCTTCTCTGGTGTCACCTGGGCCTGGGATGGCTCCATGGCCATACGGACACAGCTCCTGGAAGGCAACTGGAAGAAAGCAAGCAGAAAAGTGAGATATTTTTACAAGTGAAATGTGCTTTAAAGGCTTCTAAAGCATGACAGAGCTTGACTGCTCACTGCCCATGGGAGGCCACAAACCCTGGCTGGCTGGAAAAGACCTGTGCTTGCCTTGGATCTGGAGGCACAGGGATGCTTTTGCCTTATCTAAAGCCCTGCAGAGAACTGAGAGCAGACCCAAAGCAGAAATAAGCTTAACTGTGGTTGCTGGAGACCCAGGGAATACTGCAGTCATAGAATCCCAGAACTATCAGGCTTGGAAGGGACCTCTGGAGATCACACAGTCCAACCCCTGACAAGGCAGGGCCACCCTGAGCAGGTCACACAGGAACGTGCCCATGGTGGGGTTTGAATGTCTCCAGAGAGGGAGATTCCGCAACCCCCCTGGGCAGCCTGTGCCAGGGCTCTCAATGGAAAGAAGCGCAGCCCAGAAAGCCAACCGTATCCTGGGC